GTGGGTGAATGAGGTGTGTTATGGATGCACTGATAATGTATCGTGGGTGAATGAGGTGTGTTATGGATGCACTGATACAAGACAAGATGAGCCCAATTGGGAATGCATTCCACTTCCTACCGATGTAAGAATGCGATCCTCACTGAAACTGATGCCATTCTCATTGAAATTGAAGTTGAAATTGATGGAGTGGGAAGGCCGCGTATGCATGATAGTCTCTTGTTGCCATGTCGAGATATGGGAGCTGACAAAGGCGAAGAATTGGGAGAAAGTCGTTTATCTGCCTCTTTGCCAACTTCAAATTCATGAGTTCGATGGGTATATAGTACCATATGGTCGGTTACTCTTCATTGTTGAAGCTATCATCTCCGTCGACGTCGACAACCAAAGAGGGGGATTTCTGAGGAAATTCTACTGGACGTACCCTCTTATTTCATATACTTCCGATCTTTTGTACCCTAGACTCTCACCTTTTACTCCAACGTTCTAGCCCTTGTGCAGCTAACTTTAACATACTGCAATTTTATTTTTAGTTCTTCTTTACTTTCTTTTTCTTCTTTTTTTTTTTTTTTTTTGGGCTTTTCCTATGGAAGGATTCCCCATCAGGTATCCTTATAAATTGACAACTCTAAATTGATGTGCAAGCTTCACTGCACATCAATTATGGCAACAGAGATTGCATATTGAATTTTGATAACTAAGTGCTCAACCTCCTAGCCCTTGTAATTATCAAAGCAACAAGTACCTCATTGAAAATATAGATGAAAAATAGAAATCAATAACTAATTCACCAAAAAAAGGCCAAAGAAACGATTATTCTCAAAATCTTCAACTTCCCATGAAGCCCGCCCGACCACAAGGCCCACAATAATTAATGACCTTATGGCCCTTTGTCGACAGCCTAGAACACATGGTCATATTAATGATCTTATGGCCCTTTGTCGACACCCTAGAACACATGGTTGTTGACTTTTGAAATTGGCTGGGCCGGTATGATATTAGAGATATCGAATATCGAATCATCATATTATTTTTTATTTTAAATGTAGTCTAATATTAAAGACATCGGATCAGTATACTTAAAAAAAGTACATAAATATGGAGTGGTCCAATTTTATACTTTAGACCAATGAGCAACATCAAACTAAGAGGGAAGAAAGAACTACCAAAAAGAGGGACCTTAGCTTAAAACTTTTTCAATTAAACTAAAATACAACTTTAGTAAATAATACTACTCCACACGTAATTTTTCCTAAACCATAGTTCAATTGACACCTTTTCTTTTATAAACCTAAAACACTAGATTTTTTAGAGTTACAGTAATTTTTTGAAATTTTTTTGAAGCTGATACTGACTAATTTTGTGATCGTGATCTCCAATCCATCAATCAGACATGCTCTTGGGGTGGCTGATCCGGGTCCAATTTTTTAAACCTCGGTGATGAACATGGGCTTAAAAAACGGTGGTTCGAGTTGGATTCCGCCAAGTTGAATTTGACATAATAGGTACACTGAGTGATTTCCTTCCAAAATATGGTTTGGGTAACTTTCTCTTCTTCTTCTTTTCTTATTTCTTATTCGAAATTCACCTTTTTGAACTCATTTTTTACTCTGCTTTGACATTTTTGAGCTTCTCCTTGTCCCTTTTGACATTTTGAGCCCCTTTTCATATACACAAACAACAAAGGGGGGTTTTATGGCAAGAAGTTTTAATAAAAGAAGTAGCCATTTTGAAGCCCAAACCTCCAATCGGCCATTACGTTCACCATTTTGACTGAAATTTATTCTAAAATAATCATTTTAGATTCCCTCTAAAAGCCAGGTCAGAATCTATTGGATCTAAGCCTCTGAGGAGATGAAGAGTTGAAATTTTAGCCATTTTTTGGAAATTCTAGCTTAGATCTATAGATTTCTCAAGTTTTTCCTAAGATTTCCTTATTAGCACCCTATCCACACATACAAGCAAATCCTTAATGGGTCACAAAACCATTGTAGCATTATTTTTAGACATATATCATGCAATCCCTTTCAAAGAAAAGTATACAACGACACCATTTACCTTTGCTACAAAATAGTCACAATCGATCTTGAACATTGGATGTTAAATTGAGCGGTTATATTTTTTTTATTGACCAAGCTCAAAGTTCAAAAGAAATTTTTTCGAAGTTTTTTTTTGACATACCCAAACTATCATATTTCACATCGGATGGTTATAAGTAATTGTAACCTTCTTGTACCAAAGATAAATAATCTCATTTTATTTAAACCATACATAAAAATATATACAATGAGACCATTTACTTTTGATACAAAATGATCACAATTAATATTGAACATTGGATGTTAAATTGGGTGAATGAATTTATTCAATTGACCAAGCCCAAAGTTCAAAAGAAACTTTCTCGAAATTTGAAACTCTATTTCACATCAAATGGTTATAAGTAATTTTGACCTCTTTGTACTAAAAGTAAACAATGAGACCATTTACCTTTAATACAAAATGGTCACAATTAATCTTGAATATTATTCAATTGGCCAAGCTCAAAGTTCAAAAGAAATTTTCTAAAAGTTTATTATACACCCAAGAGATCCTTAATATGACATGCAGGATTGCAGCATTTTTTTGATATATTTAAAACAAAACAAATATTGAAATCCCCAATTCTTTCAATTGCAATCAAAATCAAAATGACGACCTTATAGAAAGTAAAATAAAAATGAAATCAATAAGTAATTCACCAAGAAAATACCGTTCTCAAAATCTTCAAAATATCCAATCACAACAATATTTAGGCTCCTCCCAATATCAACAATAGCTGTTCAGTAGCCACTTTAGCGTGTAGGTTATTAATTGATTATACAGGTTGTTCATTTATAAGGATTTTCTAATGCGGAGTCCCTCCATAAATATCCATAAAAAATAATGAAATTGAGTCTATTAATGTTAGCCAGTGTTCTAAAACTCCATGGATTCACCCAAGTAATTAAGAACAAGCCAAACTCGGCCGTTAGCACTGTACAATGTACAGATTAGGCCAAGTCAGTATGGATCACTCAAACTCGGACATACTAGGCTGAGTCAGAATAGATCACTCGGACTCATACAGGCTAGGCTAAGTCAGTATGAAAGGGACCCTCATGTGTCCCAACTCTGAGCATTGATTTTGAACCTTGCGTTAGCCTGTCAAGTCAGACCGAAGCAGTTCAGTGCAAGAGTGTTGGGGTAAAAGACGAGAGTTTAGGACTGGACAGATAGGAACTAGTAGAGTGGCTCCAATGGAATTTCCCTAAAAATTTTGCTCTCTTGAGTAGGGCGCTAGGTTTTGCGCTCATAGTTTGAAAGATGCAGAGATTCAAAATGCACCAGAAATCTACATCTCAACTCCTTGTCCTATAAAAATCAGATATCTAAAAAAAAAACAGTAATCAGGACCAATTTCAGTGTGGACTTGAACAAAACTAGGCTACAACTCGTGCAACACGAGAAGTTTGAAACAAGTAAAACTTTTTAATTTGGAACTTCTCGAAAGCATAGTTCAATCAAATAAATACGCATATATGAGAAGACTGAATGCACAAAATTATTCTAATTTGGAGAATTAATGGGAATGTGATTTTTCAATTCCCCTTTGCAGTATTTTCTACCACCAATTTTTCGAAATTTATAAGATCAAAGACTTACACATGTTTGAAGATTGGATCAGAATCATTGGGCTCCAATTCCCAATTTGACTGATCCAAATTGGTAATTCCTTACTCAAATCGACGTACGACCTCAACAAAAAATGTATAAAGAACTATCTACAAAAACACATCAGAAAAAACAAAAATGTATAAAGAATTATCCACAAAAACACATCAGAAAAAATTTTATCTGGCAGTTGTACATCGCTAATCAAATAAATGAATTATTACTAATCATAAAGGCTATTTCTATCATTGGCCAGTTATGCATCGCTAACCATGAATAATCAGTGATATTTTTGTCCTTTCAATCAAACCACTGAAGTTAGCTGAATAACCAAAACGCCGACATTTGTTCAACGTTTCCTAATGTCGAACAGAAAAAGGAAATTTTGTCATTTTTACCATATTGTTTAACACAAACTACTGCCCAACTCTGACATCGCCAAAACCTGAGTTAAATTCGCCAACCCAAACAGTAAATCCAGGAAAAAAATTAAGTTCCTCCAAAAATGCTAACAGATAATAGCAAAAGAACATACCAATTATGAGAAGAAAACCTAGTGCATCAAGTAAGTATACTTATCAGCCTAGAAGGAACCATTTTTAATCCAATTAACAAAAAAGATAACATAAAGCAAAGAAACATCTTCCGGGAGGCACCTAGGCAGCCAGGGGTTCAATGCCATCCAAGTTTAAAAAGGGCAAGAGGTGTCCAGTAATCTTGTTTTAGGTCCAGATTTTGTATAAAAAATATAGTTATGCACACACCCAAATAAAAAAACACCTAAAACACCCCACCCGATAGGTATTTTTCACCTAGCCGAGTTTAGTCCCATGGGGACTGCCTAGGCGGGGTACTAGGAGGATCTCTTGGGCACCCGCCTAGGGTCCTTGGATGGGCAGTGGGGCCAAGCCCGTCTAGTTGGTCTGCCCAGGCCTGGGCAGTGGGGCCAAGCCCGTCTACGTGGCTGCCTATGCACTGGGCAGATCTCTTTTTGAATCAATGTATAGAACTCACCCACCAAGCAAGTGAGTTTACTCACTGATTTGTCTTAAAGCACACCACTTACGCTACGAATGATCTCACATATATACAAAGGAATATCCATTTCCCAAATTCCCACCAGAAAAATGGGTGGAAATGGTAAGAATCAATGTTGTTCTCACTCAAAACTTTGAGAAGGAGAAGCAATAGGAAATGTGTACAATAAGACCAACCTTTGGTACAAGGTCACAAACAGTCGGATAAAAAATCAGGTAGTTGGGGTTGCAGCATTAACTGCACACAAAGTCCAAAATAGAGTTTATTGAAAGTTTTGTCACACTTAAATCTGTCAGATTTCATATCTGATAGCTAAAATTGATTGAGACCTCCTTGTACCAAAAGTAAATGGTTTTATAGTATACAATTCAAAGCCATAGCATAGATACGAGTTGCTCTTAAGTTTCTCTAAACAGGCAAATATGAAACAAATTAACAAAAAAGAACAAGAAGTTTGCCAACTCCAAGTAATCATTTCCCAAGTTTATGCATCACCAAGACTCTCTCGCTCTTCTCCACCCTTTTTCTAGGCATAACCACAGGACAGGAACCCGACAAAAAACATGATATTTTCTCATATAAATATAAAGCAGTCCTCTTATGTGGAACTCTAGCACTCTATAGCAGTCTGGAAACCCAGCTTTTCTTATGCTGCAAAAAAACGAGAGGACAAAAAAACAACCCTTCTGCAACAAGAATCTCATCATAACTACTTGCGAATACAGTAAATTATCAGTTTTTGGAAGAAGCTCACTCACTTTTGCCATTTTGCTGAGAGGCCACATAGTTGCGAATAATTTCCATGGCCAACTGGTGGGCATTCTTGTTCTGTAACTTTGCAAGCTCATCCATCGCTTCATAGGTCTCCCTGTCTGCAAACAATTTCAAGTTGAACCTTGAGGAAGATGGTACTGGGCCTTCCCACTTATCCACAACTTCTTGCAGTTTGGTGAAACCCTGCAAATGATGGATTTTAATATCACTGTGAGTGTCTTAGAACCACCACAAAACTATACCTGCACACATTAGAAGTAGTCTAAGGAATCCTCTATTTTGTGGTTCCCACATCAATTTCCTTTCAGTTTACTATGTTTTGATGTGCATAGGCGCATGAGAGAAAGAGAGATTTTTTTTCTAAGTACAATGTGCTGTGAAATGCAATGATTAATGTGTGTGCGTGTCAGAGAGAGGATCTGAATGTGTGCATTGATTCATAATTAATTGTCAACCTATTATTATATCAGTAAAGATGAAGAAAAGGCATGTTGAAAAGAGAGGGTTTATACACATCAAGAGTCAACATTAAATTAATAAATTTTTAAACAAGATCTCATGTCGATGGAGAGTGACAGTCCATATGTATGAGGTATGTCGTGATATGCTATAATAAGCTCTGCCAGATAATAAGTTTACCATGCGATCTGTGAAGGTGCCAAACGATTCGCCTTGCAAGCGCTTCCTCTTCCATGTGTAGAACAATGGCTCCAAAACCTTCTCTAGGTCCTGAATCTTCACCTTGTTCATGAAAGTCCTTGCCAACGTGGTTTGATTAGGTGTGCCACCAAGCCAGATCTGTTGAAGCCATGAAGCACTTTATGACTTTTAGCACCCAACTCAAATGTTCAAGGAGAAAGGAGAGAGAATATTCTCATTTTCCTTTAATAAGCATTTGACGAATGAACAACAAGTATTACATTTATAGAGAAAAAAGAAAAAGAAAAACATGGACATCATAAAGACCTGATAGCTGTTGGGTCCATCACCAACCAGTCCAAGTTCAGCCATATAAGGTCTAGCACAACCATTGGGGCATCCAGTAACCCTTACTACAACTGATTCATTATACTTGAGGCCAACCTGAAATAGAGAAACTTATTCATGTTCAATTGTGTGGGCACTAAACTCTAAGCATCAAAGACTAATATTTAGGCTCACAAGCATCGTAATGTTTGCCTGTATGCCTGCTTTACCTTCTCGAATACACCTCTTATTCTTTTGAGAATATCCGGCGTTCCACGTTCAGCTTCAGTTATGGCCAGGGGACACAAGGGTAGGGCGGGGCAAGCCATTGCTGTCAGGTTCAGAGGATCCACATATCGTGGTTGCTGATTACATGTATGGTGAGGTATGGGCAATACTTCATGAAAAGAATAAATCTCTCTCTCTCTCTCTCCTCTCTCTCTCTCTCTC